ACAGGTGGGAAAGTCAGAATAATGCGAATTATATCAACTATTATGTCTGCAGTTTTTGTCAAGCAAGGAATTTGTGTCAACAAGAAAACAGACACAACAAAAAATCATATACAAATCCAAGGGGAGCATGACCTCTGCCCTCTCTCTTATAAATACAAGGCAATGCCACACCCAAATTATTTTTCAGGCTCTAGTGTATAAAATTCTTTGGGACTGTGGAAGCTATAGCTTCCCCCTCAGGCAGGGCTAAGGTATCTGGGGAATGCAGAGTTGTGTTCATGAAGAATATGGCATTATTGTGTCTTCCCCTGTGCCTGGTGAGAGCTCCCCAAGGTGTGTCTTGGATGTCAGACAGGGGTCTGTGGGGTGAGCGCAGGCACTTGTGACAGACAGGCATGGATCATCCATGTACTCACATGCCCTGTGCCAGGAGCAGCTGCAGCAGTCAGTCCTGGACCTGAAGAGCCCACACTGTCCTCTGCCTCACCTGCACTGCATCTGGCCGCTCCATCACAACTAGTTTTAACTACTGGACTTAGATCTGCCAGCTCCCAGGGATGGGCTCAATGGATATAACACATTGGTAGTGGTTGTGGGAATCCACTTGTCTTGCGGACAAGACAAAAATGGCAGCATCTCCTTATTTTATAAGGCAGAATAATGCTGTGTACACGTACCACATTGTCCATTTGTCCATTGACAGACACTTAGTTTCCGTATCTTGGTTGTTGTGAATAGTGCTGCAAAAAGCCTAGGAGGGCAGGTATCTTTACAAGGCATAATTTCCTCTCCTTTGCATATATTTTCATAAGCTGGATCACTGGTCACACGGTATTTCTGCTTTAATTTATTAAGGGGGCCCATACTGCTTTGCATAATGGTCAGAATATGGAATGTCATAGCCACTGTGAGGAACAGTTTTAGTTTTGAGGTATAATCTAAAAAATAATGTTTTATTATGGTTCTTCCCATGAGGCTCTAATAAATCTAGTCAAAGTCCAGAAATTTTTACCACATTGGGCAAGGATAAGTTTGCCCCTAATTATCTTTGAGGCAGAAGATTGTCAGAATGTGAGATGGAGGCTGTCGGCAGGATTCAGGATGATTCAGTAATAAATAGCAATGACAGAGGAAAATGGAGATACAAAGGCATGAAGAGAAAGAGAGAGAGAATATGAATCTACAAGGGTAAAATCCGCTGAATACCAGTGTGAGCTTTTCAGTCATAGACACATCTACATGAGGGAGGAACCATGAAGTCAAGTGAGGCGTAGAGACCATGTTCAGTTTAAATCAATGTATTCTCAGACACCCATTGCCCTATCACACGGGTGAGAAATCTTTCAAACCAGTGAAGTGTGAACTCATAGTAAGTCATGAAGTTACCATGTTTTCATAAACTTTCATTAATATGTCAAGGACTTCTACAGATCACTCATGTACAAATATTCAAGATACGTTTCTGAATTTATGGATGTCTAGAGAAAAATAATGTTTTGAGAAAACTTTTTCAAGTTACAGAGACCTGCTTAAGTTGGAGATCTCGAAGGAGAGTGTCTGTGAGTGAATAGTGGTCTATTACTTAAATAGGTCAAAATTCCCTCTGTTGGAGTAGCCTTCCAATTATGTAGATTTCTTTATCGCTTCTTGAGTTGTAAAACATAAACCCAAGGATTGACTTACTGAAATTTGACTGCTGTGTTGATAGAATTTCTGATGAGTTTTCTTCCAGTGCTTTGAGAATGGGTTTCCTGTTTCTTTACCCGAGAAAATGAATTTTCACGAGCTCTCAGAACATCACGTTTCAGGTGCTTTAAAGAGTCTGACTTCCTGGGGGCAGGCAGCTTTCTTCTAACCTTGAGCTCACTTCTTCTGCACACCATTCAGGTTGTAGCTCTATTATCAAGAATTATGAAGATGTTACACTCAAATGCACTGAAAATCCTGCACTTCAATTAGATGTTGATTGGCATGGACATGAATTGGCCACTCTAGGATATGTGTTGTCTGTTATGGGCTAACCTATCAGTGGACTGAGAATCCTCCAGTAGCTGCCTTTGATTGTGGCACAAAGCAGATTGACAATCCTCAGAGTCATCCATGAAAAAAAGAGTCCTAAGGTTCACCTAGTTCTTGGAGACATTCAGGTGAGTGGAGGGGAGAAACAGGATTGGGGCTCCCAGCCATTCCAACAACACTGGGAATGATTAGCACCTAGGTACAAAGGTCTACATCATTCTAAACATCCTGCATTACAGGCTGACAGGAAGAAGTCCAGCCCCACAGCAGCTCCATAGCAACCCTTTAGGACACTTGGTAGTGAAGCTGTTTCAGGAAAGAAATGTCCACTCAAGTGAATCAGTGATGCTTCTCTGAGCTACAATAAACAGTGAATTGGATCCAGGTTTCTCTGAGTTCAGTGTGATGATTACACTCAGCTGCTGCTCCAGTGTGTTTAAATGAGCATATGACAATTTAGATGAGCCTGGCTGTGTGGTTTGTTCTATGTAAATCTGAACCACATAAACACAGAGGGCTGGTCTGACCTAGTATGAGGGTGTGAAGTCCTGGAGGCCCCACACTCCACACTCTTAATGCTTTTTTTGCTCCAGGAACCTCCAAGTTATTTGGGTGAGAATTGAGACATTATTTCATAGCAAAGTCATGAAGACACCTAAACTCTGAGAAATACACAGAGAAACTTCTCCAGATAGACCATCCAGGGGAAGGACATTTCCAGCACCTTATCTATGTGGGGAAGGTCGTCCATCTCCATTACAGACCCTCCCAGCAGCCTTCCTTCATCATGAAAATGGGTCAAATTAGCCAATAGGGTAAGGATCCTATAATGCTGCAGCCAGAAAAGGGAAAGCATCAGTTTAGGCTCTGGAGACTCTGTGTATAGGTCACATTCCAGAGAAAGAAGTCCACTAAGTTAATTAAGATTCAATTGTAACAACATGTAATACTACCAATTTGTGTAATGCACAAATTGCCTTCTCACCAGTATGGTTATTCTGGATTAAAGATGAAAGCCGGGCAATGCACAGACTATTTGAGGAGGAGAACGTAGGGAAAATGAAAGAGAATGGCAGAGAACAAGACAAGGTCAGAAGAGGCATCTGAAGCCTCTAATATCAACTCTGTAAAGACAAGGTCTTGGCAACCCCCTCATGACCGCAGTTTATTTTATCATGGGGAAATTGCAGCGTTCCTAGCAGAGGAGCAAATATAGAACTGCTTGCACTTCCCAAGTCTCCACTTGTGTCCTGTTTACACTGGATTTCTAGGAGACAAAAAGGCATAAACCTAGACCTAGTGTCAGTGCGGGAGGCACCTTCTACAGGCGGGACGCTGGGAGGAAGGGAAAATGTGTGCTATTGGAAGAGAAGATACAGAGGCGGCTGTAATCTGAATGTACATTCACCTGCAGGTATTCTCAGATGCAACGTTCAACTACAAGAACGTAATGAAGAAACGGGGGCCTCCCAAAGTCCTGCAAATTCCTGTATTCACTGTGTGTCCACTGATTCAGAGCACCTGCAGCTTCAGAGAAGGGGCTCCTTCCTGTGTCATAGAATCTTTTCTTTGGGTCTTTCTGCAGAGTTCAATAGGTTTAGTTAGGCTAATCAATTGTTTCAAGAGAAGTGTTGGCAGCAGATGTTGTCGCTGAAGGAGTATTCTAGACCAGGACACGGCCACTTTATGCTGGACTAAAGACTCTGGAGGAAAATGCTTTGTGAGCCGACAGGAACCTGCTTGCAAGGCAAGCGCTGGGCTGGAGGGGGCGCTCAGGAGCCACGCGGCACAGAGTCCAGCCCAGAGCAGGAAGCTGGAGGGAGGTTTCCTCTCAGGACATTGGTTTTCTTTACTCAGGAAAAAAAAAATCTAAAATAAGTGTTCTACAAATTGTTGATGTGACATTAAATATCCTGCCTCAGTGAAACAATTCATGTAACTTGGGGCATTGAGAACTATTTTTTAAAGTGGGCTTCTAGGATTACAAATATCTTAATAGTGAGAATATGATGAATAGGGATGGTTTTACTAATTCAATGGATGCAGAATTGTGAGAGCCTCTATATTCCTATAAAAAATTCACATTTCACTGTTAAGTAATGTTGCCTACATTGTGTGAGTGGACAGAGCAGTGGAGGATCTGAGAGTGTGGCAGGTGCACAGACCTAGCGAGTCAGAAATCAATATGGAAAGGTGAGGATCTATGAATATGAACTGATGGTATGTAAATGCTTCACAAAATACTAATAAATGGAGTTGTAAATAAAACCCACAATTATCCGTAACTTAGATTCCTTGGAAGGTATTTCAGGATCATGAGTTCACAAAGAACTCCAAACTCCTATTTCAACTTCTGACTCCTAGTGTCTGTGATATAAGAAAGTCATCTCCAATTGTGCATCACAGGGCAAGGGTGTTTTTATTGAAGAGCCTGAGGAATGAAGATCCCAGGCAGGTGATGGAATCACTGTCTCAGGAGCACACAGCAGATCTCAGAGGAACCTGCTGGACACTCATGTGGAACATCAGCGGTCAGTTTCTCAGAGTCACCAGTGAGCTGTGCTGGTTCCTGGGGGAACCACGAAGGGGCCAAGGCACCTGCTCAGCGTCATGGACATTGATGGTCCAGAAATGATCTAGGTGTTCTTTATGCCAATCACATATGGGTTCAGAGTGAGGAGCATCATCTGTGGGGACTTGTTCTTCAGTGAAAGGTTGCCATCCACAAAGAGAGGACATGGATTTTCTTAAGCAGGATTAAGGCTTGGACCATCAGCATCCCACTCCTCTACGGCGGATGTGTCATGCATCTCCTCTTTCTCATTCTCGGTCAGGCTTTGAGCTGTGAAATAATCTGTCTCATGAATATGCAAATAATGTAAGGTCTACTGAAGTACATATGGGTATGTCTGGGCCCCGAGAGCATCACCAACAACCACATCCCTCCTCTAGAGAAGCCCCTGAGTGTAAATCTCTTCGCCATGGACTGGACCTGGAGGATCTTCTGCTTGCTGGCAGTAGCTGCAGGTAAAGGGACACCTAGTTGCATGACTGAGGAGGAAACTTTTTGCAATTGAGAGGACTTTGATTCTCTGCTGTCTCCCCTCCACAGGTGCCCACTCCCAGGTGCAGCTGGTGCAGTCTGGGCCTGAGGTGAAGAAGCCTGGGGCTTCAGTGAAGGTCTCCTGCAAAGCTTCTGGATATACCTTCACCAGCTATGCTATCAGCTGGGTGCGACAGGCCCCTGGACAAAGGCTGGAGTGGATGGGATGGATCATTCCTTAAAATGGTAACACAAACTACTCACAGAAGTTCCAGGGCAGAGTCACCATGACCAGGGACACATCCACGAGCACAGCCTACATGGAGCTGAGCAGCCTGAGATCTGAAGACATGGCCGTGTATTACTATGTGAGAGACACAGTGTGAAAACCATATCCTGAGAGTATCAGAAACCCTGGGGAGGAGGCAGCTGTGCTGGGGCTGAGGAAGTGAAAGGGGATTATTAGATTGAAGATTTTCTTAGAAAGAGAGGTCCATTCATCAAGAAAAGGAGCAATAAAATTTGTATGCACTCTAATTACTTGGGAAACTCTCCATACAGCATTTATTCTGTAGGCAAAATTCAGGCAGTGGAAAATAAATCAGATTAATAAAACATATAAGAATTCCTCTGAAGACAGTGTGAACATCAGTTTTTGAATTGGTATTTGTAATATGTTGGAAAAGAGCTGCTAGATCACATTTTAATTCTACTTTTATCTTCAAGCATCAAAATATTTCAACATATTTTGTGCAGTTATGATTTTGGATTTACACCAGAAATGCATGATGGACCGAGTTCTTCCACCTCCTCATTGCCATCTGGCATCATGAGAGTTGTGGACTTAACCATTCTAATAAATTAGTACTGATATATCCTTGTTGGTTAAAGGCACTGTCCTGAATTAACATTTTATAGTTAAATATTTTAGGTGATTTGGATGAAGTGTCTGTTTTGATATTTGGCTCATTTTGTTGCATTGTTTTCTTTGGATCAGTGGTAAGTTTCCTTACATACTAATTATAAAAGTCCTTTACCAAGTTAACCAAAAGTCATTAACAAATATGTGACTTGCAAGTCTATTCTCCAAGTCTTCATTTGTTTTTTCATTCCTTTATCAATGTGGCAGAAAGATATTTATATACATATATGGGTGTGTGTGTATGTGTAAACTTGAATAAAATAATTTTTTCTCATAGATCATCTAAAAATTCATTATGATATTCACTAACACAGGATTTTTTTCTTTGTTTCTAATCTCATGCCACAATCACAGCATAAGTGTTTATGTTTCACCTACTGGGTAGGAGGATTATTAAGCTATTTGGAATTCTGCATGGGAGTTGTCTTTTTTTTAATTTCCTTTATTATAAATTGTTAGAATTGGTTCATGGAGGTTAACTTTATGATGTGGAGAAGATACAATGCTACATTATTCATTTTATTTCTCAAATCATCACAGGTTTTTAAGGTTCTGTTAGCTCTTTTAGTTTGGATTCTGTAAAGCACATCCCATTCTTTGTTTTTGAACACGTCCCTATTTCCCGGTATTATGAGAAATTCTAAGCTGATTTTCTCGTTATGTTTTCCATACATAGAATCGGTTGTTTCTCCAAGGATTTCTGGTTGCTGGTTGCTAGTATTAAATAATTACATTAAAATACAAAATCGTGTTGATGAGGTGTCAGTGTTTTTAGGATCTCTGAGCTAACCGGCCTAGAAAATATACATCCATGTATTAACCCATGTTTGCAGGACCATCTAAACTATTTATGTACCTTATCTCCTGTATCTTTATCACATAACCCTTTAGAAAACCCTGGTGCTACAGTCTACTATGCTTCCTGGCTGCCTATTCCTGTGCATGTTTCTGTACATTCTATATCAGGCTTCAATTCCATTATGTTTTAATGTTGTCGCTAAAGATAGCCAAAGATATTTTAAAAACAACCAAGCACACAGCCATTTGACCAAGTGAGCTCTGCTTTGTTATCCTCGCCGTCTTCTGCCCTAACAAGCCCAGAATCTAACAACACAATTATCACTGAAGCTTTCCTTGGAGTAGCTCATGTAATTCGAGTCGCTGGTACTCTGCCCTCCTGTCAGTGGTGGCAGATTCTATTGACTTATGTGGAACCCTCCTAAAGAGACGAGATTCTTTGAACACAATAAAAATTTAAGCTAGGAATAAATTATTGTGCAAGCAATTCATTGAAGGTAATTGCTAAGGAGAAGTTAAAAGAGAAGTCTTTTGGCAGTCATTTCTTCAGGATGTATGGCAGTGTGGGATGGATAGATGAAGTGGACTATGAACTTGGGTTAAACGGAATAGCCTTCAATGTTAATCTGTTTACCTCTTAACTGAATGCAACAGCCTATAGTTGATAGAAAAGAAAAAATATATATATACAATGCCCCCCCTGTCCCACACATCACCTTCTCATCAGTATGATTAATCTAAATTGAAGATGAGTGTGGCAGTGCAGGACTCCATCTAGGGAAAAGAACATAGAGAAATGCAAAGACAATGGGAGAAAAAGTTCAAGGACAGCAGAGCAATTGGTAGCCTCTGACAGCAAGAGCTTGATGCCCAGGGTCATGACTCAACTCTTGCTGGACAAAAAGTCACTTCTCTTAGGGCCACCGCAATATTTGGATGAGAATAGGCAAATATGATGAAGGTCTCCAATTGTATACCATTTTCCTTCTGTTTGCAGAAGGAAGTCATATGCTCATGTCTAGTATTAGTGTAGGGGGTGCTCCCCATTTGCGAGACACTAGAGAAAAGTGCAAGTTAGAGGCCTATTATTGTAAAAATCAACTAGCTCTGTGTGAGTGTGTGTGTTTGTGTGTGTGTGTGTGTGTTATCGAAACAGAAGACGCGGAGTGGACATTGATCCATAGGCATATATAGCTACAGGTATTCTTAGATGTCATAGTCAACTGCAGGAGCCTAAAACAGATAAAGGATCCCCCAAAAACCCTTGAAAATTTTTGTGCTTATTATGTGTCCACTGATTCAATGCATCCGGAGATCCAGGGAAGGGGCTCCCCAGTTCCTTAATTAAATCCTTGTTTGGGGTCTCCCTGCAGAATTCACTGGGTCTCCTAAGGTCAATGTCTTCAAAAGACGGTGTCAGTAACATATGGCGTCACTGAAGGAGCATTTTAAACTAGGGCATGGCCGCTCCCTATAGCCCTAGAGACACTGAGAAGTAAATGCGCTGTGAGCCCAGATGGAAACCTCCATGCAATGCAGAGGCTGTGCTGCAGGAGCTGCCCAGGACCCACCCAGCACATGCTCCAGCCCCAGGGCTGGTGCAAAGGGGGGTTCTCACAGGACTGAGTGCTACTTTTTTGATTACCAAAAAATTATAAAAGACTAAAATAAGAATTTTACAAAGATGATTTATGTATCTTTAAATACCCTAATACATTTAGAGGTAAATCAACAATTCAGTGAGAATCACGATTAAAAGGCAAAATTGTTACTGCTTTGAGATATTTTACTAGTAAAAAGATAAAGAACCAGGACAGTTTTATTAAATCAAAAGGTACACATTTAATATAGGTACACATTAGTAAGACTGCAGACAGCAAAGCCTCGAGAGGGCGGAGGCTGGTGCATGTGCCATGGGAACTTGGGCTCACTTTGAGAACCGTGTCCTGTGTGAGTCGGCTTCTCAGTGGAGAAGTTCTCCCTTCACAAAGTTCTGGGCTTATAAAGGGACACACAACATTAAATAAGAATGAGGACGTGTACCTCAGCACCCCACAGCTGTGTGGTTCATGTCAGCTCTGTTTTTTCTTTCCCATGCTGGATCAGGTGTAAGGCTATGAAGTGGTAGTGCTCATGAATATGCAAATCACCTGAGGTAGATACTCCAGATACATCTGTGTCCCGAGAGCATCACCTAGTAACCACACTCCTCCTCCAGAGAAGGCCCTGAGAGCACAGCTCCTCACCATGGACTGGACTTGGAGGATCCTATTTTTGGTGGTCATGGCTGCAGGTAGGATCATTCTCAGTCCCCAGGACTGAGGAGGTGACTGGGTCCAGTCAAAGGTGCTTTCATCCCCTCCTGTGTCCTCCCCACAGGTGCCCAGTCCCAGGTGCAGCTGGTGCAGTGTGGGGCTGAGGTGAAGCAGCCTGGGGCATCAGTGAAGATCTCCTGCAAGGCTTCTGGATACACCTTCACTAGCTACTGTATGTACTGGGTGCGCCAGGCCCCTGCACAAGGGCTTGAGTGGATGGGATACGTGTGCCCTAGTGATGGCAGCAAGGCTACACACAGAAGTTCCAGGGCAGGGTCACCATGACCAGGGACACATCCATGAGCACAGCCTATGTGGAGCTGAGCAGCCTGAGATCTGAGGACATGGCCATGTATTACTGTGCAAGACACACAGTGTGAAAACCACATTCTGAGAGTGTCAGAAACCCCAGGGAGGAGGCAGATGTGCTGGTGTGGAGGAGATGACAGGGATTATGAAGTTCAAAATTGTTTAGAAGATGGGTTAAATAACTGAGGACTAGGAGCACTAGAAACAATGGCGCATTGCAGTTTTATGAGAAATATTTTATTTAAGAGTCACCCTATATGCAAATTCACAGAGTAGGAAAGACCCTGTATTAGTCCGTTCTCATGCTAGTAATAAAGACATAGCTGGGATTGGGTAATTTATAAAGAAAAGTGGTTTAACGGACTCACAGTTCCACATGGCTGGGGTCTCGCAATCATGGAAGAAGATGAAGGAAGAGTAAAGGGGCATCTTACATGGCAGCAGGCAAAAGAGAGCTTGTGCCAGGGTAACTCCCCTTTATAAAACCATCATCAGATTTGGTGAGACATATTCACTATCACGAGAACATTATGGGGGAAACCACCCCCATGATTCACTTATCTCCACTTGGCCCACCCTTGACTTGAAATTTGGCTAGGGATACAGCCAAACCGTAGCAATAAAACTGATACAAATATTCCCATGAACATATTATTATGAACAAGTTTTCAAATTGGATGGATGAGTAATTTGGAGCAAGATTATTTGGCCACATGGCAAGACTAAGTATGATTCTGAAGAAATGACCAAAATGTCTTCCAAGAATCTCTCTGTCATTCTTTTTGCATAAAATTTATTTTAGAGCAGTTTAGGATAACAGTAAAATCAGCAGAAGGTACCGGAGCTCCCGTGAATCCCTGCCCAGCACAAGCACAGCCTTCTTCACTATCAGCATCCGGCACCAGAGTCGTCAGTAAGTTACAAATGAAGAAACTTTCTTTTAATGGTGATCCCCTGGTATAACAAGCCTAAATTCTCCTGGAGCACCACAGATATTTTCAGAGGGTTTCTAGGAATTGTATTATTTAGAGGGAAAGTGGGT